CGCAAATGCGGGGTAGTTCCTACTAAAATAGTCCTTTGGGAACGCACTGATCTCCTTCTTCAGAGACACTTGAGCCAAGCCAGACTTCTACTTAAGCTTGCTGAATCACAATAGAAGCTTCCCGCTTTCCCTTCACCCATCCATGAGTAATCTACCCATGGAAAGATGGAGGTGATGATCACATCACCGTTCACCTGGGTGGAGTTTTCCGGGTTTCTCCCACACATGTAGATCCATGAACCATTGCAGGACACAACAGCAACTATTCGAAAATTGTTAAATTAACTCTTGAAAACAATTGCTCTATTGACATTTGCTACATTGGCCACATTACCAGATTTCATTCACCCTTTACTAAAGATCTGTTATTGTAAAGTCTTATTAAGTTATTTTCATTTCCTAAAGATAACTTGGGATTTTTTTAATTTTTTTTTTTTTTTTTTATTTTTAGATAAACTTTCTCGGCAATTCCTTCTATTAGCTCACCCTCTCCCTATATATATCTTGTTCATATTTTCAATCGTTCATAAAACACTTTTTATTCATCCACTCAAGTTCAAATACATTTTTTTTTAATGTGTAGTGGATGACACTGGATGTTAATGCAGTTTTTTCAAATATTCATTCAGTAATTTTATTTAATTAATTCATTTTAGTTTTTCTTAGATTTAAGTTGCATTTTTTTAGATTTAAGTTGCAATAGATGGCGCCAGATAAACTTACAAAATGACTGAAAATTATTTATAAAAGACTTTCTGCAATAGAGTGAAAAAAAGTGGGAATTGACCTAAAACAGAATTTCTTTTTTTTATATTACGTGTTTATTAGGCTTTATAGCACGGTTCAACGACAAATATAGTTGAGAACTTGTGTCCGAATCTTACATTTTAAACAATTCAATGTAAACTAATATTCTACAGGCATTTTAAATTCGTCCAGGTTTGTATTTCTTTTAAGTATGTTAAAATGTTTACATTTTTAAGTTGAAACTTTGTATAAAAAAATAGACTGCGGTTGAAATGAAGACGTAATTATTTTTTGTATTGTAAACTATCCATGAACGAAAATGTTTTTAGTTTAAATGTTTTCATTCTTATCCATTGAAGAAACAGCGAACCATGGCACGAGGCAAATTAAATTAAATTGTTTATACATGTGTTATATATATATATATAACTTCGACGCATTTTGTTTCTAAATTGGAAATTATTTCAATTGATTTGATGCATGAAACAAAACAGTTAAATAACAACTTTTTCTTTTTTAATTGTGACTTTTTAGCTTAAAAGGATAACGATAATCATGGTAATAAAATAATAATAACGATAATATGTTATAGATTATTTATTCATTTATTCATTGTTAATCAGTCGATTCATCTAATAAAAATATTTTATAATTATTTTATATACGACATTACTTTAAAATAAATATTAATTGGTAATATAAATTTTTATTTTTTTACTGAAAATTTATTATTTTACCAATATTGTTTATAGTAGGTTTTATTTTATTAAACCAAGAGCTATTTAAGGGAACGTGTGACTAGCGCTATGGCCCTCAGTGTCACAGGTTTCGGGTTTAAGTCTCGGCGGTTGTATGGATGTTTTTAGAGGATCGAAATTCATTAAAGCACAAATAGTTATTATTATTTTTACATAAAGTTCTTTTATAATTCAATGTTTTTTTAATAATTACTTTTGAAGCTATTATACAACAAATATCACAACCAAAATATTGATGTGGGGGCCTGATGGCCGTGTGACTGGCACTCGAGGGCACAGGTTTAGGGCTCGAGTCCCGGCGATGCCATGGATGTTTGTAGTGGTCCGAAATTCAATTTAAACCGTAGGTCCATCTCTAAGATGAATACAGAGTGTTGGGCATACGGCTGACAACCCAACCCCGTAAAAATAAAAACATATCCAAAATTTGCCAGTAGGACAGCCTTGGCTCACTATGGGGCTGTTGCGCCATTGACGAAGAAGAACCATTTAAGGGATGGCCTGATGACCGAGTGACTAGCGCTTTAGGGTGCCACAGGTTTAGGGTTCCAATCCCGGCAGTGCCTTAGATGTTTGTAGTAGTTCGGAATCCATTTTAAACCGTAGGTATGACTGTAGAGTATTGGGCTGACAGCCCTACCCTGTAAAAAGATAACGTCTGCTGTCTAGAAATCTGCCAGCAGGCAGATGGGCTTGGCCTACCATGGAATTGGCGCGCCAATAAAGAAGAGTCATTTAGAAACGAAAAGTTTGTTAATAATATCTCTAGTAACCTTTTCTCAATAAATTACTTTTGATATTTCAGTTATGTTTCTATGGCAATATTATTAGAAGAGACCGCCTCTAAGATGACTACATAAATAAATGGTTTGACTGTTTTCAACCCATTTATTTTTGTACAAACATATATGTTAAAAAATAAATAATTTTAATATTCTAATATTACTCCCGGATAACAGGAAAATGAAATTGCGTGATTATAATAACTATTATTAAACGACAGATATAAACTTCAATAAATTTATTTATAAGAAAGCTCATCACCTTCTAAATCAGCTTTCTCCGCTGCTAATCTTAAAATTGAATACAATTTAAAAAAAAAAATGAGGCGCTATTAGAATAGAGTCGCCTGAATGCTCTTGTGAAAAAAGCATAGCAGCTTTCAAAGTGATAACGGAGCGTGACAAATTCACAGCTTCGTCGCTTACGTGAAAGCAGACATTTCGGTAGAAAGGCCTTTTCCCCAAATGAAAATATTTCGTGCACTCAGGGCATATCGAGTCTTAGAATTGATTCGCAAATGTAGCGAGATCTTTCATTTCTTTATTCCTTAGAAAGAAAAATCACTGCTAAAGCAGACTTTTCAGATCAACTCCCAGATGGCCATTTCGGCCTGGTGGTCAGTTGTTAGAGCTGTTAAATATCCATACTCCACTACCAAATCCATCATAATACTTCTAAACTCATGTGCCTGAATGGCCGAGTGACTAGCGCTTTGGCGCTCGGTACCATAAGTTCGAGTCCCGGCGGAAAACTTGCGTTTTTCGCTGCATTGTCCAGCGATAACAGTTATAATTGTTATAATGATTTTCACAATTAAATGAAATTTTAATTATATATTAACTAAAATGGTGAACTAAAAGTATTTAACTTGCTTTTTTATGAATTATAGTCATTTTTATGGGCCTGAATGGCCGAGTGACTAGAGCTCGGTACAACAGGTTTCGCGTTCGAGTCCCGGCAGTGTTATGGATGTTTGTAGTGGTTTGGAATCCACTTTAAAGCGTAGGTCCTGATCTAGCATGATCGTAGGGCTTTGCGAGGCTGGTGTTACTCCGCTTCCGTAGCTTATCTTCAAACTACACGCACCTCCTGGATAGTGCTAAGTGAGTAACGTCGGTGCAGCTCTTCCCTTAAGGCATCAAAGACAACTGTCTAAGTGTTTGCCAGCTGCATTAGAAAAAAAAAAACTCACTGACATGTTTTCATGAATCCTCGAGACCTATCCTTCAGCCTGATGGCTAGCGTTCTGGCCTTTGGGACCACAGGCTTCAGGTTCGAATCCTGGCTGCGGCATGGATGTTTGTGAGGGGTTCGGAATCCCCGTTAAACTGTAGGTTCCGGTCTAATTAGCCCAAAATGTGCACAAAAGGACAATAGAGCGACAAACCAAACCCAAATGACTCTCCCTGACTGCACATATTTGTGTCCATTGTTGTTCAATAATATGATTCAGCGTGATTTAATTAAGGATTAAAACACAAGAATACTAAAATAATTTCTTTCTTACATTATGGTACATTCAAAATGTCCGATAGTGGTATTAGGGGCTGACGTTCAATCAGCTGGCGGTATTGTTTTAGACACTGTTTCAAAAAACAAAGAGACTCGATGGCGTTTATGATGTCCGGCAACTTGCCTCGTGAGTCGGACTACCTGGTGAGAGATTTCCATTTTTTCTCCCATACGATACGCCAATGCGGAGTAGTTCCCCTAAAAGTCCTTCCGGGAGGCACTGTCCTCCTTCTTTATCGTCACGGAGCCGAATCAGACTTCTACCTCCGGGTGCTCCATCACAACAGAACCCTTCTCTCCTTCCATGAGACCACACGGGTTCTTGAACTTGGTCTAGATGTTGCTGTCTACCAAGTTAACCTTAATATAAGGTTAACTTGGTAGACAGCAACATCTAGACCAAGGGAGGTGGGATAAGGGGGAAAAAAACAATTCAAAAGTAACTTCTTTGAAGTAAAAAAAAATAAAAGAAGAAGAATTCTTCTTTTCGAGGCCGTTCAGTAGGCCTTGAAAGACGTTTAAACCCCCGTTTAACTTTATTATATGCCGATTTATCATAGTTAGTTGGAAGTTCAATCAGTATTATCATTATCGTTTAAAATTCGTTTTTACGAAACCGAGCATAATTCTTGTTACAATGTCATGTAACAAAATAAGGTTAACATCAGGGGAGCACGTTTTTGATATATATGCATATGAGTTCAGTTCTATAGTATTCAAAAAATGTAGAACAGAAAAAGTATATAACATTCAATGCATTGCCACATTTTAAAAATCTTGTTTCATTTGTTTTGCATCAATAGGGAAACAATTGTGTACTTTTTAACATAGGTATTTTTGAAATGGATTCTTCTTCTTTTTCATTGGTGTAACTGCTCCATGGTTGTGGCTAAGGCAGCCTACCTACTGGCAGATTTCGAGAAAGGAGATGTTTTTTCTTTTTTACGAGGCAGAGTTGTCAGCCTTACTCCCAACACTTTTAGAGTTATATTTGACAGGGGCCTACGGTTTAAAGTGGATTCCGAAACGCTACAAACATCCATGGCACAATTGCGATTCAACTCGAAACCTCTGGCACCAAGCGCTAGTCACTTAGCTATCAGGCCTTGAGATGGATTACATCTTGAAAAAGCACATGAAAATGCATTGTGAATAAGTGACTTATGCTTTGGCTCTTCCTTATTATTACTAAAGTCGGCCAACGGCCGTACCATGCTGAATATACCGGTTCTCGTTAGATCATCGAAGTTAAGCATCATTGGGCGCGGTCAGTACTTGGGTGGGTGACCACCTGGGAACACCGCGTGCCGTTGGCAAATTTGGGACCTGAATGGCCGAGTGTCTAGCGCTCTGGCGCTCGGTGCCACAGGTTTCGGGTTCGAATCCCGGCGGTGCCATGGATGTTTGTAGTGGTTCGGAATCCACTTTAAGCCGTAGGTCCCGGTCTTCTACGACTGTAAGAGCGTCACGGAGCAAAAGTCAGGCTTCTACCTACGGGTGCTCCATCACAACAGAAGCTGCTTCCTTCCCCTTCAATCATGAGTCCATATGGGCTCGTGGGCTTGGCCAGCCAAGTGGGATAAGAAACAACAACAACAACATTACTAAAGTAGGGGCCTGATGACAGAGTGGCTAGTTCTCTGGAACTCGGTACCACAGGTTTTGGGGTCGAATCCTGGTGGTGCCATGGATGTTTGTAGCTGTTCGATATCCATATTTAGCTGTAGGTTCTGGTCTCCTATGACTGTAAGAGCGTCACGGAGCCCAATATGACTTTTCACTCACATCATTCATTCCCAAACTGTATAGGGGCAACTCAACTCTAGGCACAGTGATGTGGTGTGGTGTAGTAGTAGTATTACTAAAGTCCCGTATTTACATATTTTTTAATAATAATTAAATAATTATTATGCAGGAAAAGTTGAAATAGGAAGGACGAACTTCAATTTACGATCTGTGAACATTTTTGATCTAAATAAATGGGTATTTATTACCTACTTTGAACGCATGTAAAAATTTACCAGCATTTACCTACTACAGGGGTAAAAGAGTCGTGAGTCACGACATTAAATCCTGAATTCTACAGCCTCAGAAGTTATTAGTCATGCTATTGAATGAAAGTTGCCTCGCAAATATATCAATATTCCATACTACAGTCAATTAGTTATAATACACAAAGTAAATATATCAACAATAAAATAACCGCGTGCAGTCTATGAAGTAGGTCTGGGTTATGATTATGAAAAGAAAATAGACACAGAAATAAATCAATATTCAATTAACCACATGCAGTTTATGAGTTACGTCTTCTTCATAAATAAAAACAAAATGGCCACCATACTGATTGATCGAGCATCTTCCGTGGGAGGATGACCACCTGGAGACACCTCATGCCATGGGCATTAAAAAAAAAAAATTGAAATCTGCTCGGCAAATTTCAACTTATCATGTGTAAACAATTCGAGTTCGGACGAATAAACTCTGGAATGTAATAATGTTTAATAATGCAAGAGATATACG